ATGAAACTGTAGAGTTTTTTTGCAGGTTTGAAGAAATTTGCAACAAAGTTGTAATGGTTACAAACAATTTTAATAAACATCAATTTAACAAGTTTGTTGTAAACTTGTAAATAATCGTAGGTACTGCAAAAATTTTCTTAGCAACGTTTAAATATGCTTGTTTTATATTTCGTTACAAAGTTAATAATTATCGAATTACTAGCAAATTTCTTTTAAATACTACTTTGTATTTATCAGTTGATTAAACAGCATTGATATGAAATATTCTAACAAATTTGCAATTAACTTGTAAGTGTACAGTAACACATTAAAATTACATAATTAAAATGAATGGAACTTTGTTGCAATTTAATGTCCTTTAACTCGTCAGCTGAACACTTATACACCGCAAAAAATTCAGAGGACATTTTTTTTTCGTGTAACTGTTTAAGATAACTATTACCTTACCATATCTCAGCTTTTGCGGTATCAGTTCACATAGCGCATATTTTTTACTTATTTGCGTGACGCATCTACACCCCCCGGAGCTGCGCGAGCTGGAGGCCGATTCACTTACTAGTGATACTAAATGAAGCGTAGGAAATATTTTCAGCTTTCACCAAATGACTAACTCAAAACGGTCGCTGGCTCCGGACTATAAGTACAAAAAATAATCATGGCCTGTAAAATTTTAAGCTGTCCATCAGAAAATCTGCAGACGCCCTCATTCTCGATAAAATGCCCCAGAGCACTTGTTGAAATCATTTTTTGTAGTTAAATGCTAAAGTTCTTTAAACACAACTCTTATTTAATATATTTATAGTTTGTCTATATACTTTCCTTATTCCTCCGGTATAATCACTTCTTAATTTATCAAACTTTCTATTGGGGTTTAGGGACTTACACTAAAACAACAATTTTTTTTTCATATAATAAAGTAAACAATGCTGGGAGAAAATATAAAAATTTTCATATGCAAAACATATATGACACTCACGAATAGGTGTGTTTCAAAATTTTTCTAGGTCACTAGATTCACTTCCAGACGAAATCCAACCAGTTGTGCTGTACTTAATTTAGCAGGAAGTGAAATATAAATTTCCGCTCTCATTATTATTAATGACTATTATTACCACTTACCAGTTGAAGGAGAGGGTGCTAGAATATATTTGTTGAATCTGCAAGTTCTATTGCTTGCAAAAATTGGAGCACTTTTTAATTGGTGGAAAAATTTAGAAGACTTTTGAGGCTGTCGGCAGAGGTCTCCACACGACATTTTCTTAATTTACAAAATATAATCTTAAGACAAGTTAATAACACTATATTCCCATAAAAACAACGCTATTATTCTATTTAGATAAAATAATCGTGAAAATAACCTCAAAAACAATTAAGTAAACAACAAGGCATGAACAATACAAATCAGAAGAAGAGGAACATACAAGTGGCTGTAATTCTCAACCCCCTTTTATTACACGCTCCTTGTAGATGCGCAGTGGTCGAAAAGCAGGATATTTCTTTTTAGATATGTGATAAATATTCGTAGAATATTCGCACCCCTTTTATCGCCCAAAGCCGTATTAAGGAAAATTCATATTTAAAAATACTTTTAATTTCACAATGACTTTGAGAGTTCAAATGAATTTAATTTAATAACTAGTTTTGGAAAGTAATTGATTTGACTCTAGCTCCAAAGAGATACTAAAGTTGCAAAAAGATTAATATAAAGGTTAAAATATTATGTAAGTTCAGTTTTCTCTTCCTGGTCTTTAGGTCGGAGTGATGGTCTTCTTCAGGGTAGTATCTTTTTCCAAGTTTTGGTGAATATGGTCGAGGATTTGGCGAATATGAAGGGCCAATCTTATTCGTTTCTATTTTCACCACGATGATAACAATTATCAATGTATGTAGATATGTGTATATATGTGAACAACGACTATGTTTTCTAATCAAAGGCTCATTAATTAGTTCATTAAGGTATACTTATCATGATAACATTTATGTGGAATTAGTATGGGGTGTGTTTAAATTTTTATATCTGCCCTGTAATTGGAATTTGCTCAATTTTTAAATTCTGCACCTGGCAGCTAATTGTGGTTAGAATTGGATCTGAGACTATTATCGCTGATTGTATTATCATTTAGATAGATACTGGATATGCAAATAAATTTGAACGAAATTGTGTTCCAAAATAGAGGGTTTTGCATTTATTTAAGTTCATCTTTGCTGTATACAATAAAGAATCTTCGTCACGTGCCATTTAATTTTGTGAAGTTAATAAAACGTATTGTAGACCAGTACTATTATTTAAGAGCTACATGGGATATAATTGAAATTGTGTATATCTTTGGTAATAATTAAATGGATTTTTGAAAAAAATCCTATTATATGTACATAGTAATTTACCTCCATTTATTGTTATGAGACTGCTGCTCCGATTTTAGAGGATTTGACAGTGGATCTATGAAAACTATGCTTTTTTTAAATATACAAAAATTATTAGAAATAAGGTATTAAGTTTTATCCTTAAGCTGAATAGTACACAGTGGAATAATTAAGAAACACTTAAACAGTTGTTCCAACATTTAACATCTACACCCAGTATATATCCTCATGTATCTTTCGATCGTTAGTGCTAATGACAATATTTTTTAATAGAAATTTGGCATTTTGAGTAATTAATATGCTTGCTTAAAACATGATCTATAACGTATTTTGATTTATGAAAAATAAAGTAGGTTTTGACATGAATAACAAAATGATGCTCTGACTAGACAAAATACCGTTTGCGTGGATAATATGGTATTAAAATATTCCATTAAAAAGTTATTTAGCATTAAAATTTATTCCTATATTCCAATTGACTTTTTTAATTTTGCCATCCTGTCTAAGTGCGTTTTGGATAAGAAATCGGAAAAAAAATTTAGAAGTGCTTTTAGCCATATTTGTTTATAGATTTTCTACCCCATAATCGTATCACAGCCGTCTCGTACCGTTAATGGATCACCCTGTATATTTACACCGGGTCGAACATTTTGGCGATGCATTTATTGGGATAAGGGAAATTATAAGTGATAGAAAAACGGTTAAATGGAATAAGTTTTAGATAATTTTGGAAATAACTTAATGGCACTTACATACCTATCTATCGGGTTTAGCTACTCAGGTTTTGAAGATTTTTACGAATTTTTTAAATAAAAACCTTATTGCAACTTTTGTTTCAAAGTTGTGGTTCCGAGAAACGTCATCGTGTCCCCTGCAACTTTCTTTTTTATTATATTTAAAAATGCTTGCTTGCTTAAAATTAATATGGCGTATATGTATAAGAAAAAAAACAGTTGAAACGTCAATATATTTTGCAATGCCTAAAATACATTTTTGAAGATGCATCTTACGCACAGTTATTTACTAACAAAATTGTATATCTGTAAATACTGGTGACGCCAGTCTATTCCGTGGCGACAGAATTCCTCGTCTTAACTTGTGCGGGCATTAAGGGTGGTTGGTGTGTTGGTTTTTCTTGGGACAGGCAACGCGCACACATAACATCTAACTACAAACGCTGTTAAATGGTTGTATAGGCTTACAACTACTTTTTTTTATTAAAGCATGAGCAAAAATCTTATAACTTAAAATTCATTTCAATAACATCAAAACAGAGGTATGTTTCTGACAAACCAATTACCAGATCGCAGTGAGCGATGTAAATATTTAATTTTTGTAATTTTTCATATTTCCAAATTTCACAGCAGTTTTTTGTCGGATCAAAAAACAATGTCAAAAATTGGCATTTTCTGCCCATCCGGGGGAATGCGCAATGCTTCTTTTTTTTTACTAATTTTGAGATGCTGAATACGAACCCATCATTCTTATCAGCCAAAAAATGTCGGGAACACAGTGAAAACTCCCCTTTAGGGGGTGTATTGGAGTTGACATTGTAACTTGTAAATACAAGTGGTTTTAGGAGCGGTTAATTTTTGTACCACTTTATACTTTAAAATCACTGTACTTTGATAGCTAAGCAGAAAAATGACACAAAAACACCGATCCACCCTCTCACCCCTTCCTAAGAAGGGATTATTTCAATATAATCGGTCAATAGCCGCACGGTTTAAGGCGTCAGTACTTAAATCGTGTGCAAATTCTGCCTGGGTTCGATTCCCGCGGCCGGTAGAGCGTAGATTAGCTATGCATGTACGGAGGATTGGCACCCTCTGTGCAGGTATGGTAGGGTGGAAGAATGTTGGCTTGGGTCAATGTGAGAGATTGACACCGGTTGGCATTTGACCACCCTCCTAATTAATGAGGTTTTCCAGGTTTCCCTCATTCCTGAACTGAATGGTGGTTAGGGCCTACGAACAAAATCGTTCCTGGGCGCAAATGCGGCCTGCCTAATAATAATATGCCGCCTCCTCTCCCGCACAAGTCTCCGACTTGTGAGCTAATTCTCGTAGTTAGAATGAGGAGTAGAGATATTATTATTATTATTATAATTAATTGCAATGCAGCTATTTTTTGGGTTACTCTTGGGAAAGTGTGCAATGCGATTTTATTGATTAGTTTTTATGTGCTGAGTACGAATCCATCGCCCTTATTGCGTAAAACTGCGGGGAACACAGTAAAAACACCCATTTTGGGAGTGGTTTTCATTCAAGTCATTATTCTGCTTAGCTATCAAAGTACAGTGTTTTTAAAGTAGAAAGTCGTACAAAAAATAACCGCTTCTAGAACCACTTGTAGTTGCAAGTTACAATGTCAACTCCAATACACCCCCAAAAAAGGGGGTCAGAATGACGCACACTTTCTCCGGATGGGCAGAAAATGTATAGTTTTAACATTGTTCGTTTAACTAATTTTAATGAATGTCTTAAAAATTCTAAAAATAACTGTAAAATTGAAATTTCTATAAATAGATAACTTGAGTTTGCTAGTTTTGAGTATCTCAGATGGAAAACCTACAATTTTATCAAGAGATTTTATCAAGTTTAGCACATCAATAAATTTTTTAATTTAATTTTCAGATTCTCAAGAAAATAAACTTTTTCATCCCTCCACCAAACATTTTAAACATGTCTATTCCGGTACTCACACAGCGCATCTCGTTTTTAACACACGTTCCCACTGGACTACTATCAGTCTTTCCCATCAGTACAATTGACAAACATCACTATACAATTAATTTTTCGGAATTAAAAGTAAATAGGTTATTAGAAAGGAAAATAGTTAGAACTAAGAGACTTTTAAGTGAAGGAATTGTTAAAAGTCCGTTAGGGTCTTGTGGAAAAATTCCGAATCAAAATTTGGTGGAATATGTTTTCAAGAATATCGATAAATGGACTGAAGAACCAGCTGCGGTATGTATCTATTACCTACAATACCAACATTTTAGAAACATATATTTGTAAGTTATCCAGATCTAAAATATTAAGACCATTAAGAATACCTGAAATAGTCTTGATTTTACCATATATTTTGTGTTTTTTTTGTTTCATTCGCAGGTGTTTTATGAACGTCACTTTATTTGCTCGAAAAACATTACTGGTTGCATATTTTTAAAATCATCATTTTAAATCATATTTACAAAATTGGTACATACATACTCGCTTTGGCTCTATAGTATGGTCGTCGGAGCCGTTTTCGGCTTTGAAGCGCAGCTCACCATTTGAGATGAAAGTTTGAGGTTCGCTCGCAGTTTTCATACAGACAGACAGTAAAAAATTTTCATAGTCTGATGTAGATTTTCGTGGAAGTAATTCGATGATGATTCCAATCTAATATTTCTTTACTTAAAACATGTAAAGCATTTTTTATTTTGTATTTTATATATAGATTCTTTATTATCACTCATCATCTTAGCTCAAATATCGTTTCACACATTAACCGTTAACGTTAAAATATTACGTTCATTGATGATTCCTTGTGCTTATACTTAGATGTCATATAAAGACGCAGGTGTTCTTAGTCTAATACCCACATGCAAAACACAAAATACCGAAAAATATGTTAAAATATATTTTCAGACATGTGCTGTAACTGGAAGAAGTTATACATATGGAATATTAAGAATGCTGATTAACAGATGTGCTCAAGCACTTTTAGGACACTGTGGAATGAAACCTCGTGAAGTTGTCGGACTTTTGCTACCTAATATACCTGAATTTATAATTGTTTGTCACGGTGCTATAGAAGCTGGGTTAACTGTAACTTTCGTTAATCCCCTGTACACTCCAGGTAAGAAAATAAAAATAACTCAATTTGTACTTTAAGCTATAATTTTATGGTACAAAAATTCTCAAAAAGTACAGAACTGGTTACTTTCACTATTGAAAGAATATACAGGGTGTCCCGAAATTCATGCAACAAGATTTGGTCACATATTCTGAAGACAAATTTAGGGGACCCGTATTTTTTATTTTTGCCAAGTGGCCCTCTTTTTCGGAGTTACAGCCCTCTGAAGTTCGCCTCTAAGAATAATCTTTTTTTATATCTCAGTACCCTGTTGTACGAAAATCACTAAATTTGGTACACAGGGGTTTTATGACATGTGGAATCTGATGGTGCTACGTTTTTTGACGGGGAACCTCCTTAAGACAATTTTTCGTGGGCCCCCTTGTCTTTGGAGCCAAAAAAATTTGGTCACATATTTAACTTTCTTAAAAATTATCAGTCCACTAGAAAGCCATTCAATTTAGAAACTTTTTGTCACTTTATAGTTTTTTCGTAAAACGCAATGTTTTCGAGAAAAATGTCAAAATGTGATCGAATGTATATCGTGATTCGCCATTTTCCTCAAAAACATTGCGTTTTACGGAACAAATATCAAGCGACAAAAATGTTTCTAAATTCAATGGCTTTCTAGCTAACTAATAATTTAAAAAAAATCAAATTTGCGACCAAATTTTTCTGGTTCCAAAGACAAGGGGGCCCACGAAAAAGTGTCTTAAGGGGGTTTCTCGCCAAAAATCGTATCACTGTGAGATTCTACATGTCATAAAGCCCCTATGTACCAAATTTAGTGATTCTCGTACAACATGGTTTTGAGATATAAAAAAGACTTCTTAGGGGCAGTTTTCAGGGGGCTGTAACTCTGCTTATATGCTGTTAATTTTTGGGGGAATTGAGGGTATGTGGTGGAGAATCCATACGTCAGAATTTTTTTCTATCATTTTCGGATTTAGCGGAAAATTTTACTAGACATAGGTAGGGCCGTCATTTTTGTTTGTCGGCCTGTGTAATCAAATCGTGTAGAAAACGTATCAATACCACACAATACGATTGTAACATGAAAAACATGACCGTAAATGTGACTACCATCCACAATATATTTCTTATATCAATGGCGTATATTAAAGGAAAAATTCGTTCGTTGCCCTTACAGGGTGGGTTCTTCAAAACGAAACAGCGAATAACTCACGAAAATTATATTTCCGAAAATCGCCGAGACAGGTCGATTTTGTTACAGACTACACCGTGTTTTGTTTTCTTGAATTCGATTAGTTTCGGAGATACAGGTTGTTAATGAAAAACCTACTTTTTACAAAATTTGTAAAACTTTATTTTCCCCATCAGCTGCGATAAGACTTCTCAGATGAGTTTTTTTTTCTGTTAATTGCACGGTCAATCATTATAATTGTCGTTATTGGTCGGAAAAATTAAATGTATGGGCTGGAATGCTGGAATTTGATGACCGCATTGTTGGTCAATTTTTTTAACAAGTTAATCTCACCGGGGAGTTGTACCTGGATTTGTTGGAGAACATTGATCCAGCGTTGACAAACATTATCGAGAATAATGAGAATTATCTCAAAGAGCAGTTTCCCCACACTACCGGCCTGTTCGGCAGTATCATAGATTTGTGAATCAGTGGATTGGGAGACAAGCCGTCATAGAATGGCCTGCACGATCGCCGGATTTATCTCCTTTGGTCTTTTTCTTGTGGGGTCACTTAAAGTCCAAAATTTATTTCACTCCACCTACTTCCTTTCAAGATCTACGCCAACGCCAACGCATTGCCAACGAATGCCGTTAAGTTACTCCAGAATGTTACAAAATGTGCGTGAAAGCTTTTTACAAAACATATTACTGTATGGAGACTGGAGGTCATCAATTTGAACACTTAATTGGCTGACATGTAGTAATTTGCAAATAAATTTGTAAAAAGTAGGTTTTTTTATTAACAACCTGTATCTCCGAAACTAATCGATCAAATTCAAAAAATAAAACGCTGTTGTGTAGAGAATTAAAATACCTTTCAAACGATGTATCACTTAACCCTCCTTCCCTATTAAGATTTCTCGTAGTCTGTAACAAGAAATTTATGTGAAAAGATGACCTGTCTCGAATTTGTTGGAAAAATAATTTTCCTGAAAGTTATTCGTTCTGTTTCGTTTTCAAGAGGCCACCCTGTATACGTCTGCCTGTCTTTAACAACTAATCTTATTTCCGTAAAATGTAATTAATTATGATACAACATATACCTACATGTAATATGTATTTACAATTTCAATGAGAAAATCACACAACGAATATTCAATTTTCAGATGAAATTAAACGACAATTTGAAAATGCTGGAGTGAAATTAATTATAACTGTACCAATCTTACTGGAAGTTGCCAATACTATATCATCAAATTTACAGGGGTATAGATCAACAATATGTATTGGTGGAGAAGACGACTTATCCAAAAATGTCCACGGATTACAAAGTCTACTTACAGGTACGCTGATATTTTATTAACTTATTTATGTTCCATTTATGCATATAAGTGTAGAGTGGCAATACTCCATTTACTTTCATAACACTTATCATATTTGAATCGAGTGAAATGTAGACTGATAAAAATACCACGGGGTACATACATAATACAAAAAAGTATATGAGGTGTTTATAAAATATGTGAAGAACGTAATACCAGAGATTCCTTGGATCAAAATAAGTCAATACAGGGTGTCCCAGCGGGAACTGCGTCGATCGATATCTAGGAAAGTACTGCTCCGAAAATTTTGAAAATTTGGCAACATGGCAATGTTTCTGGGGCGAACGCAACTAAAATATCTAGAACTCTCCACCGCTTCCGGTTATACCAGAATTCGACATCAACTTCATTATTTTAAATGGAACGCCCTATATATTATTGCATTTTCGGATTCTATGAAATTTGAGGGTCACTGTATTAAATATTCCCTATACCTAGGAGGTATAGATTTTGAGATACCTATTAATTTTTAAAGAAAAAATTTGACAAATGCAAGGGTTCGCGGAGATGCTAGTAACTCTTTTCAGGAACATGATATCAAGCGGATTTTTGGTACCTGTAAAGGGCACATTATGGTATCCCAACAAATTAAAATATTGAATACTAGGTGTTTCATTTTTGCTGTTACATTTTGATAGCTTCAAATCCCTATAACTTTGTTAAATTAAATGGTACACCCTATATTTTTTTACTCTGTCGTATGCAGATTGAAATTTCCTTTCAAGCCATATAAGCATTGTTAGGGTTGCCGTTACTACTTCTACTAGAAATATTTGCAATTTTCTATTTTTTGGGCAGTTTTTCTTGGATTAGATTTGTTGTCAAATTGACCATAACCAGAAACACTCCAAAAACAATTAAAATAACAAGACATTTGTCAAGTTATTTGTCAAATTATTGTTGTGTCTGAATAGTTTTACAGAAAATGAGAATTATTTTAATTTGTGTTGTTTACGGAAAATGTGACAAAGTATGTAACAATTATGTATTGTTTTTCATTTCTTATAAACACTAAATTAAACTGTCACTGCAAGAGACTAACGACAAATTCACAGTTTAATTGTTCGTTTTGAAGTTTTGCTAAAAATTCCTCAGTTATCCTCGCAAGAAATTACATGATTTTAGGTGATTACACAAAAAACAGTAGATAACTTAAAAACTAGAAGAGACAGGTATAAGGAACCCTGATACTGTTCGAAAGAGAATAAAATTGTGTATCAGAATATAAAAAAACATACAGGGTGTTCCATTAAAAAAAAAAAACGACGAAAGGTTTGAAGTTAACTAAACTCGGCATAAAATTTCTAGCACCCTGTATGCAATTAAGCCACTATAAAATTATGGATAGGAAGCTTAGGGGTCTAGCTATCCATCTGTTGTTGCTTTATCTTCCTTACTATAAAATATACATGGGTAGAAGCTAGTCACTGTTTCCCCCCCATTTTTTTGAAAAAAAATTAAATATCTCAAAAACGGTTAATGTTGGGAATAGGGAAACTTCATAAAAGTCCACCTAAAATAACACGTAGAATCCAAAATTGCAATAATATATAGGGTGTTCCATTTAAAATAAGCAAGTTGGTGGCGACTTCCTGTATAACCGGAAGTGGTACGTTATTTTAGTTGAGAAGGGCATGTTCGAAAACCCGGTATCCCAAATTTTCAAAATTCAAATCGAAGTAGTCTCTAAAATAATTCTAATAGGGCGTCACCGTGAGACACCCTGTATAAACCCCTAGCTGGAAATGAGCCGTTTTGGCCCTGAAAGTAATTGTTCAAAACAAAACGGCTTGTGGTAGGTTGTTAAAGAATGTTCGATGCAAAGCCTCTTCTCAATGACTGCTGTCCGTGCAGTTCGTGGATGTCAACTTCCTACATGTTTTCTCTTAACCGACGATGGATTGACGAAAATGTTTTTCGGCAAGGATGTCGGCGATTCAGAAAGCGTTCAGCTTCTCTAGCGTTCCATCTTGCTTCGCCATAAATAAGATGCATGTCTGCATACTCTTCGAACGTAAATTGGTACATTTCAATAACTTAGAAGCAAAATTTCGTCGCAAACAAAACAGATGTAAAACACTCAATAATTAGGTCCGATAATTTATTACGTGACAGCTATGTTAATTTGTTTCACTATTCCTGACAGCGTAACACAGATGACATTGCGTGACTAAATTAGATGCGTACAATATAGTATATTACGTAATAAGTGTTGTAAAAAGCATTTTACGCACGAACGGAAAAGTTACGCACGACGCCGCGTAGCGGCGAGTGCGTAATTCTATGAGTGCGTAATTGCATTACACCACGTATTACGTACTATACTTTACCTACGACCACTACTTTAAATACTTAAAAATATACCGTTTGCGATCAATGTAAGATTCCTATTACGTCGTACGGTAAAAAAATCGCACAGCTTGGTAAAAAAATCGTACAGTTTTCCTAGTAACCGCCTAGCAACGGTCAATACAAACAGTATTGTATTGGCCGTTGCTAGGCAGTTGCTAGGAAAACTGTGCGTTTTTTTTTACCGTACGTAATAGGAATCTTACATTGATCGCAGACAGTGTGTTTTTAAGTACTTACAGTAGTGGTCGTAGGTAAAAGTTTTTATCATACAGTTGTTGATAAAATAAATTTTTACCAACCTCGTGTGTAGGACATGCAGTTGGTAAACACATCGGAAGAGATGAACGTGTTTATTTTGTTCAAATCATTTTTTGCGTTATCCCGAATAAAAATTACTTAATTATCAGTCTTTACGTTTTTGGACAAAAATTGCCCCAGGGTCAAAATGCCTCATTTTCGACTTTATTTGCAAAAATTTTCTACCACAATGTCCTCTATATCCCCCTCAAGTTTGGCGAAAATAAGTGCAATAATTTAAGTGGTGACAGAACTTCAAAAAATAAGATGGTTTTTTCCTTTGGACCATAACCCTATCATTTTTTATTTTGACAGTGATACAAATAGTAGACTACTTATGGCCAAAAAAAAAACGTTTTAGTGCAACTAAACTCAGTTGGAGCTTCCAAAATCAGTACCATTCTGAGGGTGTATCCAGAGTAGTTCAAGGCGAATAAATTAGAACCTTATCCCTAAGCATAATACCTTAGCAACGATGGAGATGACCAAGTAGTAACAGTCTCCAACTCAAACATTCGTTGAGGATGTGATGAGGAAGGCGTCCGAAAATCTGGTTCGCCTCTTTACAAGCGAGCAAGAGGCGGAAGTCCCCGCACCGCAGGATCTCATTGTCAGTAATAATGCTCATAGTAATTCCTCATATTAGAAGTATGGAAAGACGAAACCGTAACCCGCGACATGACTCCTAACGCGAAGTTCCAATGTCCGAAACAGAAGGTCTTACTCCGCAACAGTAGCAGCTAGCGAATCTAGCAGATGGTCGAAAATTAACAAAGTTGACGTAGTTAGCAACTTCAAAAACTAACCATAACCAAATTTGATTTCAATACATTGCTTTTTGAAAGAGACAGCTAAAATAGTATTTTAAAAGATCATCTTTATCGCCCTGCATTTCAAACACAAAAGATGATAGGTTATCACTCACAAAATTTTTTGCGCTCATTTCCAGAACACCCCGTAGGTAAATATTTTTGGTTATAGTTGCAATAAAATAAAATTACTTTTACTATTAAGTGGTAATAATACCACAGACAATGTAGCTACGCAAAAATTGCTATTTTGTATATGGTACCTAATTCTTATTAAAGGGTGCTTCGTAATGTTGAACAAGGGTCTTCTTTACATTTAAAATTTATAGTAAATTCTCGACTATGTCGATGGATTTCAATAAATAAAATTTAAAACAAAAATAAATGTAGGAAACAACTTACAAAAGATGAAATACAGGAAAATTTAACTAAAAGTTGTTTAACTAGGCTTAGTGAGCAGCAGTTTAACAGGACCGTAGTCAGATTACGAATGAAAATATTAATATGTTTACAGAAAATATGTCGCAACATAGTACTATTACCAAAGTAGGGGATAAAATACCTAAGTTTTCTTTAGTGAAACGGCGACGTTTATCAGTTAATATTAACTTGTGTAGGGAAAATGATCGTTCAACGTCTACTGTTGACAATGGACAATACGAGAAATTGTTGAGGCATGAGCTATGGGTATATATTAATAAATTTGCTAGTAACTCCTGATATGTACCAAATAAAACTTTACATATGTTTTCCAAAAGGATGTATCCTGAATTTTTTTCCCAACACTCTTTCCATTTTTTTCTTTTATCGTACTACTGACTGGGTGTATATGTATTATTGGCATCGTATATATATATTTTGTACATCATCCATTATATCAAATTCTTCATTTAGAGATAGTCCATGTGATTCCAATTTACGGAGTTACGGAACTTGGGGTTCTCTAGTTTGTTTAATGGCATATTGCTGGAATATAATATATATTATATCTCATGTATCATCATCAATTTATGTATGCAGCACTCATACTGTATATTCTTATTACACTTATTGCAGTCCGTACAATTTCCGATTAAAATTGCTCTCGCGTACAATTTAGCGTTTCTGGTTTTATTTATGTTAAACGCAACATGCGAGGCAATCAACGTAATCAATTTTGTTTTTATTTATCGTTTAGCTAAGCGAATAACTCGCATAGGTCGAGCTTTCGCAAGTTCTTACCGCTTTTGGCGCTTTTAAACGTATTAAACCTAAAATGACAACAAGGTCAGATGGTGTGCCAAGTTTTATTTTAAAAGAGTGTGCTAGTGTATTAGCATATCTACTTACTTTTTTAGTTAATTTGTGTGTAAGAATGTGCAGGTACTTTTCCAGATACCTACCTGGAACTATTCAAAAGTTTGACCCATCTATAAAAAAGGAAATGAACAGGATATATAAAATTTCGCCCAATTTCTATTTTATGTAATATCAGTAAAATCTTCGAATATTTACTTCGCAGTCGTAGTTATTATGATGCATTATTATGCATGTTTTTGTTTTATTGTCCATCCATTGTTGTTTTTTACTCTTTTAATGTTTCTACTGTAATTTTTTTTATTATTTTTACACCTATAGGACAGACAGACAATCTATGCAAATCATTAAATTCAATGATTTTATTCGTATGGTTGGAATTTAGATATTGGCACACAAGATGGATTAATAAAAAATTAGATATATCTACTTAATAATTTTATATTTTGGATTTCTAGTTGTTTTTTTTTTTTATTTAAGTCAATAAGAATGTTCTGATCCTTTATGAATAAATTGTATGAAAGATATTCTTTTTGAAATACGAATAATACCTTTCTTCCAATCTGATACCAGTTTTCTTTTATTAAAACAAACTTTTTTAATACGTATAGTATAGTCTTTGTATAAAAAAGAACAAAAGAGAATAATTCTTAAAAATCTCGAGCGCCAATTTAAAACTACCACAACCCATCCCGAGTTTTTTCGAAAAAAGTATATTTCAATTGTTTTTAAAAAATCTGCTGATGACAGGATAAAAGATTAGTAAGATTATTTATTTTGCCGTGGTAGAAATAAAGGTAATAAGAAATTATTTAATATAAACTTCAGTTTTATTGAATAAGTAAATGTATGATATTAAACAATTTACTGAATTGGTTTTTTACTCTACAGCAGGACATGAAAGTGAACTTCCGGGTATTAATCCAAGAGAATTGGCTCTCCTTCCATATTCTAGCGGTACCACAGGCCTCCCTAAAGGAGTTATGTTGTCTCACTACAACCTTGTCGCTAATCTCGTCCAAGGAAACCATCCCGCTTTGATAGATCCTAGTGCTAAAGGTAACTATTTCAGTCAATTATTATCTTTTAGAATTACAATCGATGAATAAAGTGCGAAAATGTTGACATTTTCGGACGATTCTGAAGAAAAACTAATTGGTGAAAATTGCAATCCGCCATCCGTTAAAAAATGTAGGGCACTCCCCATTTTTCTGCATTTTTTGTTATATAAATAACTATTTTATTTGTGAACTTATATTTGCAAAAAAATGTACTGCAAAAAATGTTATACTGAGAGATTAATGTCGTCGCTACTAAATATTTTGTATGCCGCTCTCTTATTATTTTCACTCTTTGTAGTTGGCAACACTGACAGTGATTTACTTCGTTCAGTGGTGGGTTAAGTGCAATCGCCGTAGGGTCACTATTTATTTTAATCACAAAAATACAACACAAAACGCAGAATGTTGGCATTAATTAATTTGAGGGTTTTATTAATTTGTTAAAGGAATGGATTAAATAAAAATTATTTAGATAGTATTATTATTAACCTCAAAACTAACATAAGAACCGATTTTTAACAATTATTTATCTTATTATTTAATAGATGGTGCCCCCCACAAAATCCTCACTGTCCTTCCGTTCTTTCACATCTTTGGATTCAATGGTATAATGAACATTTGTCTGAGGGACGGATCTCACCTCATTACCATACCGAGGTTCACTCCTGAAGATTACATTAAGGCATTAATAACGTATCGACCAACATTCCTTTTCGTCGTGCCATCTCTGCTTCTGTTTTTAGCAACGCATCCTGCAATTACTGCCGAACATTTATCTTCTGTTGAAGGTATTCAATCTGGGGCAGCCCCGTTAACTGAGGGGTTATTGCAAAAATTCAGAGAGAAGATAGATAAGCCAGATGTTCTAATAAGACAAGGCAAGTGCGTTCAAAATATATAATTATAGTAGGTCTGTTCCAACAAGAGTCAGGGATTGGTTCCGAACCGTTTGAAATGTTTGGCTAGCTAAGTTTTAAATGTGTCTTCAGTGAATATATCGCAAGAATTAGTTGGATGCACATTTCTGACGGTTCGGAACCAATCCCTGACTCTTGTTGGAACAGACCTAGTAAGTAACGCGTTTAGGGTTGAAATAAATCAGTTCAATAATAGATTTACAAGTAATAATGCCAACACAGAGTAAAGCTAAACACCAATCCTATACGGGGTGTCGCGTGTATAATCTATAAAAATTAAACTACAGCCTCCTAACGATATTTGTAATACGATTTGTCTTATACGAAAAAGTTCTATTTTTGCGTTTTTTTTTTCGTAAATTAAAGTTCAATTATAGATTAAAATATTTTCTCTGGAACGGTAATGTCCGTGTGCTGTACGATGAGTTACGTGCTGTAGACCAGCCGCGTAAACAAATCGTTGTTGAAAGATAGAAAGATGCTTCTCAATTTTTGGGACCCCATATCGACACGTTCAAAAATAGTAAATGCATTGTTTTCTCGGTTCATTATAAAACTAGTTTGTGCACAAACTAAAAAATTAAGCAAAGTAAGAAATAAGAATCTCGTTTTTAATGTAATCGGTACGTTATTCTTATTTTTTACTTTATAAAAATTACACTGTCACTATCGTGGAACTACAAAATAAAACTGTTGCCTGGAATCTTTCACTTTTTAACACTGATGGGTAGATGGACGATGCTTAATATTTAATAATTAAGTGAATAATGAATTCAATACAAATACAAAATCAGTTGACTGCACAAATTTTTTGACAATGTAACCTAACCTTTTAGTATTACTAGTATTAGATTATACCAACTTAAATTATAAGGTTGCATCTCGGGTCGCATAAAAACATTTCCAAAGTTTTTAATANATTACTTAAAGATGTAGCCCCTCTAACTCTGTTAATTTTAATAGTAAAAGAAAAAAAGTCAATAATCCATTTTTATCTACAATTTTATGCTCTATAAATTTTATAAGAAACTTCTTTTTCTACCGCTTACTCTTTTCGAGTTGTCTTGAAAAATTCTACTTAATTTTTTTCACCCCTGGCCTGGCCGGGGTTGGAAAGAATTTTATCGTCACTTATTGTTATTATACATATATCTATATATATATATATATATATAAATTGTAAGATAAGCAGCTCTTCCCTAGTTTTCATGGAAAACACCCCCTTAAAGGCAAAATCATATTCATTTAATTCTTCTGATTTACAGGTTATGGAATGACAGAAAGTGCACCAGTCACAATGTGTATGCCAAGACTTACTCCTCCATCCAAAATAGGTACAATAGGAATTCTTTATCCGGAAACGGAGGCAAAGATTGTTAGTTTGACATCTGGCGAATCTTTGGGAACACATCAATCAGGAGAACTTCTAGTAAGAGGCCCGCAGGTAAGTAGTTCTGCCCTTAATTTTCATTCATTTTTGTGGTACCTATAATTCGGTGACGGATTCTCAATCCCACATGATCAAAAATGAAAGGTTTGTAGTATTGGTGATAGTAGCAACGATTCTCGTAGCCGTTGCACTAAAGACAAAAAGATGGATGTGGAAAAAAGTGAATAAATTCGTATGTTCATTATTGAAGGAAAACAGTTTTTGGGGAAGAGTGAAGGCTAAAGGAGGAACATGTATGATTATTTTCCTATTGGTACTAACATTGAATTACTGTTGACAACACTACTCAAGTAGCTAGAACGGTGGCTAAAAGCTGCAATAATAAGGAATGAATAAATAGTTAGCAGTTTCTATGTGTTAGCAGTCCAGGGAACCAAGGGTTTCCCCTCAGAATTCTTTCGGATAGAACCGATTGACGTGAAATTTGGATTGTAAGTAAAAAATAGCTCAAGAAACAAAAGTTATATAGTGCCGATGAGCGCTTTTACTCAAGGGGTGGAAGCCACTCCTTCTAGGAGGTGAAAAATAAAACTTTGAAAATAACCAGGACATCGATAAAGCAATCAATTTTAAGCAAAAAGTATCTTATGAACATTTTTCGATAAGTCAATATTTTCCGAGTTATTGGTGATTGAAAATGTAAATTTTTTATTAAAAAAGGCGTTTTTAGTAGTTTTTCTCGAATAACTCGTAAAATAGACATTCTATGAAAAACCATCACCAAGAAAATGAAGCTTATAGAAAAAGGAAAAGATCGAGTGTTTTTTCATTTATGTAGGTGCAATAGGTGCTGAGATACGGCTGGTTGAAGCTAATATATATCAGAAACTAAATTGGAGACATTTAACGTAAAATAACTAAAAAAATTCTATTTTTCAAAAAAAATGTATAGAACATTTTTAAAGTACTTTAAAAAATCTTTAAAATGAACTGGACTTTAAGTCATTAGCATAAAAATTAACAGAGTTATGATCAAAATAAAACTGTTTTCGGAAAAAAGAATCAGAACAAAACTGATGAATTTTTCACGAGATTTAAAATTAAAGGTAATCCTTCTACAATTTACATTTTTTATGTAGTAACAATATATTATACAAATTTAAGCGGCTTAGAATGCATATTTTATAACGTTTTGATTGAAAAAATTTTTTAATTGCAAAAAAATAACATATTTTAAAATTAAAAATAAAAAAGATATGAAGAATATTCAAGGGTACAAAAGTTTCGATTTTTTTTCACAGAATACTTTGTTGTTTTTTTTTATTTGTGTAGGATAAAAATTAACAGAGGTGTCGCTGCTAGAAGTTTGCAGTTGAGTGCGAAGGTCGTGTTTTTCAAACCATTTTACTTCAAAAATCTCAAAAATAACGCGTTAAAAAATATTCAATTTTAAATTTTCCGTAAAATCGTTTTTGAGTCGTCTTAATAGCTTTAAAATTAAGGAAGTTATCGTTAAAAAGCCAACGGTACCTTACCGCTTCAATTTTCGGAGCATATCAATATTTTGGTTATCCATAACTTTGAAGCATTTATACCTACATAATAAAATAATATACACCGTATCCACCTAGTGCGCGTAAGTCCAATATCTAGGTTAATAAAAGATATAACTTTATTTTTTTTCTATAGAGTTGCCTACTTTCCTGAGCTGCACAAAATGAAAATATATGTGCATATACAGGGTGTTTAGTTGTTCCTGGGTAGGTACCAACTTAATTTTAAAAAATTAAATGGAAACTTTTTTTATGGCATTATCGAATTCTACGTGAAAAATTAACGGGACTTATCCCTATTAAAATATTGACAGTTTTCGAGATAATCGACTTTTCATTTTTGTTTCTTATGTTTCGTCACTTCTAGTAGTTGACATAATTATTATTGTATGACAGCGAGAAATTATTATTATTTTTTTTTCAGGAACCGTAGAGTGAAGATGGCTCTTTCAAAAAACGTATCAAAAGTTGACCTGCGATATACAGGGGGCAAAAAAAATCGTGCCAAACCTGATAATTTAAAATTTGAAAAATCTCGACTCTTTCAAATAGAGCACCCTGTGTTTTATGATTTCATTAGATGCCTTTCAGTATACTCTACAATTTTTTAATAGCTTTCTCTATACCTAAGTTGCGTAGTTTTTGCAAAAAATAAAAAACATTTTTATGTACAATACCGGATTTGCGCCCGTTCCTTTGGATGTAATATGATTATTTTATTGTTATTATACTTTTCCTATTACCTATTTATCTTTCAGGTTAGAGAACACCTAAATCACGTATATCCAAACCGGTGGTTAGGTCGTGGTGGTCCAGTTCGCCTGACTTAAATAGTCTGGACTTTTTCTTGTGGGGTTATATCAAGGAGCAAGTATACGAAGTACCACCAACGGGTATTCAAGACTTAAAAGAAAAGATTCAAAACGAGTTTCTAACTATAACGCCTCAAATGTTAAGAAATATCCACATTCATTTTCATCGTAGATTAATGCTTTGTGTAGAAAACAACGGTGGACAGTTTGAACATTTATTTTAAGTTAGCTAATCTCCAATTTCACTAATAACTTTCTTAACTACGGTAACAGTGCTTGATTTTCAATATGATACTTATAAAACTTCTTCAATATTTTATTTGTTAAACTTTTGAAAACTCCAAGGTTACATTTCCTGGCACTAATATTTGGATTTTCAACAGCAGACGCCACAACTTTAAACTAAATATTATCGTTGTTATTTTCATGTCTTCTGGTAGTTTTCTCATAATTCGCATTTGCTGTTCATTCAAATCTTTCCTTCACATTTTCAAAATAGTGGGAATCTCTGTAAATTTGGATTATTTGCTTTGTAAATATGTGCTGCTGGCAAATATTTCCCATATTTTGCTAATTCTTAATCACTTGTAGCGATGTTATGGTTTTTTTATTTTATTTACAAATAAATGGTAACTTTCCATAAAGACTTATTTATTAAACTCAAATATCTAAATTTTTCAGTTATTAATTTTTATTTTAAATAGTGTAGCTACACAACTAATAAATTTAATAAAAATAAATACCCTTACATTATTTTTCCCCACAAAGGAACGGGCGCAAATCCGGTGTTTTACATAAAAATGGTTTTTTTACAAAAACTACGCAACTAAGGTATAGGGAAAGCTATTAAAAAATTGTAGAGTCTACAGAAATGCATCTAATGACATCATAAAACACAGAGTGTTCTATTTGAAAAAGTCGAGATTTTTTACATTTTAAATTATCAGGTTTGGCACGATTTTCTTTGCCCCCTGTATATCGTAGGTCAACTTTTGATATGTTTTTTGAAAGTAACTAGCAAGAAAGTTATTACGAAAAAAAATTATTTTGCATTCTTTTTTGGATTATTGTATTATAAACAGATAAAACAATTTAATTTATCCTGTTTGTACTATCAAATCATTTCAAACTGTTAAAAACTATTTTTTTTTAATATTTTGTTATTGAGGGTAGTTTGGTTGAAATATAATAAATTATTTATACCATAAACTATTGAAAAGATTTCTATCTATACCTAATATATGCGCTATAAAAATATTTTAAGATCAAAGAAACTATTAATTTTATATTTTTTTCATTAAGGGTGGTTTTTAAGGATCTTTATAAAAATAACGTACATGACTCACAATATAAAACAATATTTATTCTATATGTATATTAAGATATAACACCTATTTTTATAACCTATTTATTCAGCTTTTTAGCATAAGGGGTGGTTTTCATCCCCTGAAAATAAGAAGCGCATATCAAGCATATTATATAACTTTTCATCTACAGGGTGAAATAAGCTTAATTCCAAATTTTCATAAAAATCACATCTATCCGAACGTATTCGGAGGTTTTACCCTATTTCTCTCTTCGTTCCCTGGACTAATAATGATGATGGTTGAGAATATAACCATAATTATATTTTTTCTGGGTGCTAATATTTAATTGGTGGATAGCGAAAATTATGACATTTTCTGACCAGCAATACAGTTTGTCCTAGAGGTTTAAATTGTTGTTGCTAAACCTTGTGTCGAAGAGAAGATGCTGTTTCTAAGTGTCTCAAAATACAAGATCATTAACTTGAGACACTAATACCAATATGCTTACCACTGTAGATCGATCCTGAGTGTAAATGGGGCCTGCTGAATACATACATAATGCTATGCTCTTTTAACTAGGCTAATCCTTGGATCTAATTAAAAAATATTGCGACCTATGATTAATACGACGACAATAAAGATAGCATCTTTTCACAATTAGTGGTGATGATAATGGACGTTTTGAGATAATAATTTCTGTGGAAAGAATTGCTTCTAATTTTTCATCTCATTCTAATTAAATTTTTGTCAAAATGTATCTTACAATAAACCTTAATTTAATATGAAAATTTATTTGCAGTTAATGATGGGATACTTAAATAATGAGCAGGCAACAGCAGAAACAATCGATAAAGATGGCTGGCTACATACTGGCGACGTAGCATATTATGATGAAGATGGTTACTTTTATATTGTCGATAGGTGTAAAGAACTTATAAAAGTTAAGGGAAATCAAGTAAGTACATAACAATAGTAATAACAATGTTATGATTTTTAAGTTCCATTGTATCAAGCAAAAACACAAAAGGATCTAACTGTACAGAATGTCACCTAATGAACGTTGCATACTTCAAGGGTATAATCTAGAACCCAAATGGTTAATAAAACTTGCTTAAACGAAAAATGTCTAAAAAAAAAGTTACAGGGTTCTTTTTTTATTTCTTGTTTTCTCTTCGAACCCAGTTACCTGATTTGAGCAAAATTTGCTGTTGCTTAATTTCTCTTCATGAAGTATGCAGTGATTATGTTCGTATTAGTTTAAATAACACAGGGCGTTCATTTTACTACAACCCTTTGCGAATATTCTCCTGTGACTTTTTTGTACGTTTAAATTACGTTTTAAATTTACACGCAACTGTCAGATATAGGTAGAGAATTTTATTCTGCACAAAAAATGTATACATAAAAAGTCGAAATTACGCTCGGTTATGAAGATATTACAGAAAATATTTATTAAAACTTACCCCATACTTTTTGGGAATAACTACGTATCCATAACAACATGACAATTTCGTATTTTCGTATAGTTTGTATTTTGCAAAATTGCCTCGTCGGAATGAATTTACGAATTATAAAATGAGAGACATGATAGTGGTATATGTACAGGAACATTTTAGTGGACGCGCTGCTAAGAGAACATTATGAAGAAATATATCCGAATCACAGACAGCCTTTTCATACGTTATTTACTTCTTTATTCATCAGATTAGGAGAAACTGGAAAATTTTGGGTCTAATTCACGAAATGGAAGGTACGTTCAAAGAAGGGTACAAGATGAAGCACAAATTCTAAAAAGAGTAGAAGAAAATCCCGAAATTACTATTCGTCGTTTGTCAGCAATTACAGGAGTTGGCAGTAAAACTGTTTCAACTATACTCCACACGCAGCAGTTTCAATGTTTCCATTTTCACCCTGTATAAAATTTGCTTAAACCAGACTGGGCGCTGAGATTAACATTTTGCGAACGATTTCTCCAGTTACATAACAGGGATCACATTTTTCTCGGGAAAATCGCCGAAAAATGGCGAAATACAAAAGTTGTAGATCTTTTTATTATCTACAACTTTGCCATTTAACTTTTTTCCATAAGATTTGTAGTTTTTCCGGAAATCAAGATAAACCGTTTTTTTACCCTTAAAAACTCACCCCCTTCCCCTTCCCGACCTCAGATCGCCCGTAAATTATTTTTCTTTTCATTTCTGTTATATTTTCTTCCTTTTCCAATGGGTTTCATCCTACTATAATTTTTTTTCACTTTTTACCATTTTTGAAGGCTTAAGCACTGGTCTAAATATCTTCATAACCGAGCATAATTTCGACTTTTGATAGGTATACATTTTTTGTATAGATTATCTACCTATTTCTGATAGTAGCGTGTAAAAATTTAAACTATAAAAAAATTACAGAAGAATATTCACAAAGGGTTGTAGTAAAATGAACACTCTGTATAATTTAACCTAATAGGAACATAATCACTGCATACTTACTTCAGGAAGAGAAACTAGGCAACAGCAAATTTTACTCAAATCGGTTAACTGGGTTCGGAGTTAAGGAGAAAACCAGAAATAAAAAAAGAAACTAACACCCTGGAATATTTTTAGTGACATTTTTCATTTAAGCTTTGGTTAAATCGACACCATTTGGGTTCTAGATTATACCCTTGAAGTAACATTTGTTAGTTTGCTACTGTCACTATCACAGTTTATATTTAAGCAAAATTCCATCAAGTTGTGAACGCTTTCGAAGGGAACGGAGTTTAGTCACAGCTATGCTGCTGAAATAATACCGCCTTTGAGAGGTGGCAACTGCAAATTGTCTTCACACACCTGATATGATATGACGGGATGGTAAATAGGTTTATTACACTTTTATTTTAGTTTTTGACTTTGGTGGTTTACGAAAGGAGCCTTTATATGGTGCAGGTGTATAATCTTATAAAATTATTTATTTCAGTATTTAGTAACGGTACAGAGTAGTTTGATATGCATTATGAAAAAGCATATACAGGGTGATTAATTAACAATAGGAAAGTTGAAAGCTGAAGATACTACACGTAAAATGGTGGCCATTGGCGCAAACATGCCTTATCCCGCCGCTTGTGAAATCAGATCTGTGATTCGTTTTCTGAATGCTAGGAAAGTGAAACCAATTGAAATTTATCGGCAAATTTGCGAAGTTTATGGACAAAATGCGATGAGTGATTCAATGGTGAGAAGATGGGTCCGACAGTTCAATGAAGGAGTAGTGAAGTGCACGATGAAGAACGAAGTGGGCGTCCATCTTTGGTTACAGAAGAACTGGTTCACGCGATTGATGACAAGATCCGGGAAAACCGCAGGTTTACAATTAGTGCTCTCGCTATGGAATTTCCCCAAATATCACGATCACTAATTCATGAAATTGTTACCGAAAAACTGAAATTTCGTAAACTTTGCCGACGTTGGATACCAAAGATTCTTACTGAGCAACACAAAACAAAACGGATGGGTGGGTAGTGCACATCAGTTTTTGACCCGTTATGATGAAGGCGGCGAAGAATTTCTGACACAGATAGTCACAGGAGATAAAACTTGGGTTTCTTACGACACCCCTGAAAGTAAGCGGCAATCAATGGAACGGAGGCACACTTCATCCCCAGCAAATGTTAAGCCGAAACAAATCTTGACACCTCGGAAAATGATGTGCACAGTGTTCTGGGACTGGAAAGGCATCTTACTCATTGATTTCTTACCGCGTGGTCAAACAATCAAAGCAGATGCTTACTGCGAGACACTTAGGAAATTGCGCCGCGTAATACAGAATAAGCGCCGAGGATTGCTGTCAAAAGGTGTTGTTTTTCTTCACGACAACGCACGACCACACACTGCAAATGTGACGAAAAACCTCCTACAGGGATTTGGCTGGGACGTGTTTGACCATCCTCCATACAGCCCTGACCTCGCTCCTAGCGACTTTCATCTGTTCTTACATCTCAAGTCTTTCCTTGGCGGTCAACACTTCAACAATGACGAAGTGCTGAAAGAAAATGTTTCCAACTGGTTGAAGACACAGGCGGCAAACTTCTATGAAGAAAGTATACAAAAACTTGTGCCACACTATGACAAATGCCTGCAAAATTTCGGCAGTTATGTGGAAAAGTAGTTTAAGAGTTGTAGAATTTTGTGCAATAAATAATTTTTCTGTATCTGTACACAATTTAATTTTATTACCAAACGGAACTTACTTTCTGGACGTACCTCGTATTTTCAGAATAATCGCGAAAAAACGATTTAAAATTTTTACTTTCAACACCCTGTATTTCCGAAACTATCAACTTTCGGATAAGGCATTTTTGCGCCAATGGTCACCATTTTACGTGTAATATCTTCAGCTTTCGACTTTCCCAAAGTTAATGAATCACCCTGTATACGAATCAAGAAAGAGTTGATATGGTTAGAGCCTACTTATTGTTCATTGAAAACAGAAGCCGATCAATACGCTAATGTTCGACTAGAATAAACTCAGAGAATGAGAAATTTGGAACCAGAAATTTTGGAACTCCATGGAAGACTATCCTGATACATATACTCGAAGATTAGCCACAAAATTTCAAGTGTCATATGCTGTAAAAATCAAATTAGTGAACAGATTATTTACTTATTTTTATATATTTCATTTGTCATTAATGATTACCTACTGCTTGAGTTTTCTGTTAGATCACTTGTTAAGTAGGTAATGTGTCAGAGTATGATGTCTTATTTACAAGAACTAAATTTTCGTTTATGTGACTCAAGAAAAGTAACACCAAGAAGCAGTATCGCACGTATCACACGGGTGGTGTGAAAATTTGCTTTTAATAACCTTTCCTTTAAATTATGAGATTTGACAACAATACACAGTCCAGTTCCCAATTGTGCTTGTGCCGAGACTAACGCACACCGTTGTTTGAAGTCACACTAACTTGTCCAGCGGCGGGGTATGAAAATTACTAAAAAAAATAAAAAAAGATTACCTATGTATTAACTCGTTCCTGATTCGAATACATGCTTTTTCGTAATATCATATAAATTAAAACACAAAATTACACTGTACAGTCAATAAACACTGAAATAAATAAGATTATACACTTACATCACACAAAGGCACTATACGAACACCCTCTCGTAAAATGTAACCAAATGAAACAGTGGTAACATTTGGCCATTCCCGTTTCATACCAAATGTGAAGCTATCGGCAAACCGTTTTTAAACGCGGCACTGCAACAGAACAGCGGTGGCTAACATCCGTTGGCCCTCGCAAGTGTTTAGAACATGATGGAATTCTGTTTAAATTTACACTGTTTACGGTTTAATTTTGTTCCCATTTTATTTAATTTGGATTAATTTAATATGTGGCTCAATAAGCAAAAAGAGTAGAAATAAATAACCGTATTTCTTTACATCTGTCTTAATAATTATCCTAAATCTACTGTACGCTGTGACAGTAGTCAACAAATTAAATACAAATACTGCTTAAAAAAATAGTAACACATAATTGTGAAACGATTTTAAAAAAATATTTCATATTAATCAGACAGCATTTTTATTTATTTTTTATTATTGTTTAGTAAAAATAATTATTTTAAAACCTAAATTAGTTATGTACATGCTAATATTGGTTAATACTTAATAAATCATGTGAAATTTTAAATTTTTTAAAAACCATATTTTTAATAGGTTTTTTATTAAGAATATAAGTTATCTTGTATTTGTTAGACCTCTCTCAGTCATTTCTGCCCTTTTTCCAATTACATAAGGATTTACAGATTTAATTGTAATATATTTTGACATACGTATTTGACATTGATACAGTCCAAAATTCCTGTAGGTATCAAAAATCGCCTGAGAGGCCTAATTACTCATGGACAGTGTTATACGGTAGGCCGTGACAGTCAAACAATAACCTGTTGTCAACCTGTCACTGTCATGGCCTACCAT